AGGAAGCGACAATGGTGCGGACCCCTTTCCACATGCTGCCTGGTTCAACACTGACATGGACAATCCGGTGTAGACGCTCCTGAAAAACAACCCGAGCAGCGTTGTTCTCATCCGCGAAACACCCGAGTCGAAAACAGCGTTTTCGACATTCGACTCCAGCGATCTCAATGCCTACCTGCTCGTCGTCGTTGGCCTCGCGAAGCCTGACGACGAGAGTGTCGAGCTGTACGACAATATCGCAAAGAAGGCCCAGGCCCAAACACCAATTCTCCTCCGGGAAATCCAGCCTCTCTCGCGGAAGGAGGAGCTCGTCGCCCTCCCTCTGGACGCGACCCTGGACAAGGCCATGGGGGCCTTTGGGAGCGGAATCCATCGACTTTTGGTCACTAGCCCGGACGGCGAGGTGGTGGGAGTGCTCAACCAGCTCCGGATGCTCGAGTTTTTCTGGAACGAGGCGGCCAACTTTCCCGTCATTGATCGTCTGTACGGGAGCATCCTCAAGGACTTGCAGATCGGAACCCAGCAAATCATTGCCATCAAGTAAGCGACCCGTTCCATTGAAATGTGACGGATACTAACCCGCTGGTTTCAGTGCCGATGCGCCACTCGCAGACGCCCTGACCCTCATGAGCAACGAGGGACTCACCTCTGTCGCCGTCGTCGACCACGGACTGAACGTCGTCGGCAACATCTCCACTGCCGACGTCCGCCACCTGACCAACACCAAGACACTCCCCCTTCTGCAAAGCTCATCCATGCACTTCATCAGCGTCATCCTGTCCGAGCGAGGCGTCGAGCGTGGGCGCGACTCCTATCCCGTCTTCCACGTCACCCCCTATTCCACGCTCGCGCACACCGTCGCGAAGCTCGTCGCCACCAACTCCCACCGCATGTGGATCGTCGACTCGCCCTCTCCCTCTCCCAGTGCCCCGGCCACGCCTCTGCTCCAGGCAAGGGAGCCGTCCGTCACTGCGGCAACCGCCCCGCCCCTCGCGGCTACCTCTGTCGCCGCAACTGGCGCCAGTTCTCCCCCGACGCCAACCATCATCATCCCCCCGCCGAGCATCTCGACCACCCCCCAGTCTCCGCTGCCCGGCCCGGTCCCCAGCGGCGCCCTGCCCGGGTCGAATATCTCGGGGAGGTTGTCGGGCGTCGTCTCGTTGACGGATATCCTGAATCTCTTTGCCAAGACGAGTGGTCTTAGGCCGACGGACCCGTCGGAGCAGCGCGCGAGGCGGAGGCGGAGCTCAAGCAGCTCGGTGAGGCCGAGCTTGGATGGGGGGAGGGCTTCGGCTGATATCAGGAGATGAGTGGGGGGCAGGAAAGGGTTTTTTTCATCGACGGGTTTCCGGACTTAGGATTTGTATTCTTTTTGAAAGAAACTGGCGTTTGTCGCAGGGTTCCGGAGCTGCAGTTTCATGTTTGTTGTTTTCGAGGGTCAGTTTACATTCGAGGAGGAACTACCTAGCAATCTCGGGGGCGGTTGAGTCGAGGGAAAACTTGAAGAAACAGCGTTGCGTTCCAGATTTTGATTTTGCTGTTCCCATTCTCTGCATTTGTTGGGGACAGGCCCAACCCCTGACTCCTGACTGGAAGTAAACAAACAACATGTTTCTCTCAAGGGTCCGCGCTTGGAAGTCCGACAAGGCCCAAAAGAATACAAGTTCCAAAAAAACAAACGATCAAAGCCACGATGAACGTACGCGTCGATACGCCCTCGCTGTTTCCACACTTGCAGGGCTCATCGACGTGATCGAAGTATACATAATCAAACTGGTCTTCGGGGCGCATGAGCGTGAAACGATGACAGGCTTGCTCCGACCCCTCCCATTTGTCCATGATTCTTTTCTTGATCGTGTAGGTGGTGCCGTTCGGGGCGAAGTCGCGGTTGAAGATGGCCATGGCCTCTTCAAACTTGGGCCGCTGGCGCGGGCGGGTGTTGTTGGGGGCCATTTGGTCTGTTGTGGGTGTGGGTGTGGGTGGGGTTCAAAGGTCAATGTCTTGTGGACTTGGACTGGTCTGTCTCGAGGGGCCTGTGGTTCCGAAGGTTAGGAGATATGGGAGGTTATGTGGTAGGAGGGAGGGCTTGAGACAGACCTTGATGAATGGGTGGCGTCTGGTGTCCGAGATGTATCGTGGGGTCGATTCTTGTGTGTATTGCTTGCTGGACGAGGAAGATTTTGGTCTTGGATGGGAAAGCATTCGAGTTTCTCTTTACAAGGTCATTACGGGGACAGACAAACGAAAACCTGGGTATCGACATACTGCTGCCAGCCGGGGAGGGAGGCAAACGGCGATACTGTCGACTGCCCGAGGGAAGCAAAATACCCTGCCACAAGTGTCAGAACCGTGGACACTCAGCTTCTGCTCGCTTCGCTCGAACGCTCTTGCTTCAACCACGAGCTTCTTCCTCCTGAACACTGACGCCAAGTCTCTCGACCAGTTGCCGTTCGACTTGATCATGCGGACGGGACAGACGCATATGGACATTGAACGAATGATAATCGAGTTAATTCTGTTAAACTGCCAGTAGAAAGGAAAGCGAAGCTTCCAACAAGGCGTCGAGGCGTCCTCTCAGCGGCGAGGCCTTAGAAGTCTAACAGAGGCCAAAAGAATACAAGTTCCCAAGTTCCCAACCAAAACTTCATCGAAGCATAAGAAAATACACCCGGTCGTCGTGGCGCATGTGAATGAAGCGATGACAGTCCTCCTCCGACTCCTGGAGCTTCACCACAGCCCTCTGTACACCATCCCCATCGAGCCGTTGGGCGTGGTCGCGGTTGAAGATGACCATGGCCTCTTCAAACTTCGACTTGGGCTGCGAGCGGGAGTCCTTGATGGCAGCGGCCAAGGCGAGCACGGCCTCGTTGGAACTCATGCCCTGGATGCTCTGGAGGCTCCGGCCTGTTGTGATGTTCCCGGCGATGATTGAGCCGTTGCGGGAATGGTCGATGAGCAGGATGATTGTGTTGTTGGCGGCCATTTTTGATGTCTTGAGTTGTGTCTGGTTGAGAGGAGCCTGGCTGCTTTGGATACCAGCACTGGTCTGGGGCGAGTAGATGGCCTGTGGTTTCAAAAGTTAGAAAACAAGGTCTTGTGTCAGGAGGATGACTTGGTACAGACCTTGATGAAGAGATTGTGTCCAAGATCGGGTTGGACTGTTGTGTGGGTTGCGGGTTGAACGAGGAAGAGCTTGAGCTTGGATGGGAAAGCATTGAGTTGCTGTTAAGGTCACCATGGGCACCAGACAAACGAAAATCGACATGCTGCAGCCAGCCGGGGGGGCCAACGGAGATGCTGTCGGCTGCCCGAAGGAAACAACAAGCTGCTCCCAGGCGGTGAGCAATTCAAACAAGGGTATGTATCGGTCGTCAACTGTCTGTCTGGTTTATAGCCTCAGGGATGGACTGCCTGCGGGGGATGAGAACGGATGAGCCTGTGGGAAACCCAGCATCAGTGAAAGATCGTATCGTATCTCCCTCTGTGGAAAGTTTCGGTGTGTGGATGTGTTCTGGCGGCAAGTTGTCAAGCAAACAGACACTGACTGGTACTTGACATTGGTCTCCGTTTCTCAACACCGTGTTTCTTTTGGCAACTGTCCGAAGTCTATGAATACATCTCTGGTAACCGGAGCCCAAGACTTGAACCCAGAGACGTCATCCTCCCCCGGTAGACCTTCGTGCCCGCCCTTGCCCGATGCCAGATATCCTTGACCAGTGCCTCTCCCAAGCAACAAGAATAGACAACAAACGCAAGGCAGCTTCACGGAAACACCCCGCCCAATCCTGAACTCGCATGACATGGGAAACCCCAGTTCCTCCAAGCCTCAAAGCTTGGAGCGAATCTTCTTGTCAACCCTAGGATGCATGGTCGGCCTAGGATGCATGGTAGACTCGGTCCTGCGTCCGGGGAAGGGTCCGACGGGCACAAAGACTCCGGAGGGGTTCGAGCGACGGATCCAGACCGGGGGGGGTCCCGCGACGAGCACCATATTTTTGAGAGTGATCGTCTTTTGGTTGGGCAATTTGACAGTGAAGACCGGTACAGGTGGCGTCATGTTGGCAGGGAGCATCTTCTTCTGGTCGGGCATTTTGAAGAAAGCTGCCGTGATGTTGATGGGTAGTTCGATGCTGGACGGGGGATTTACCGAATCTATGAACGGTACGAGGTCAGTATAAGATAGGATCTTGGAAAGATGGAAGGAGAACTGACCTTGATCTTCTGAATGAAGGCCAGAGATGTCAGGTGTCTTTCAGCTGTCTTGTGGTGCTTTGGAGAAGGAAGGGGGAGTTTATGGTGTTGGTGGGAAGAGAATGGCATTAAAAGGAGAGGAAGGAGCGAGTGCTTGGTTCTAGAGGGCAGGTACCCGTGTTTCTCTGAGCAAACGGGGACTGCGGCCAGACCAAGATGGAAGGAGACACACGTCACCTTCTGGAGGGCACAGCAAGGAGACCTAGTCCTGGCAGGTGAGTCAAACGAAGAGGGCCGGCTGCCAGCAGAAGACGTTGAAGATGATGATCCACACCTTTCAAGTTTCATCAACAGGACCTCTCAGCCCCCAACCTCAAATCCCATTCTTGATCTCCCCTACGGTCCGGGTGTCTGACATTGCGATGTCGAAACATAGATAAGAGCACCAGGCAGGAGGGCATCCATGTGTCTCCAGTCCAGCCAAAGCCCCGATCCACCAGACTGTTGTCCTCTCTCCGGGTGAGTAGGTGACTACGTGCCTTCCGACGCCGGTATGAAAGCCCCAGCCAGCTTCAGTCATGGAGTTCTTGGTCAAGCCCGTATTCAACTAGAAACTGCAACTGTGAGGCAAGCACCAACCGTCGGAAGACAGCCCCTGGATCTCCATCCCGGTCAAAACAGAACTTGGGGGTCAAAGTGGGGGTACGGACGGCTGGGCAGCAAACCAAATCCACCCAACCCTCCGAGTCCCGACCCACCAACGGCAACCCACACTAAGAAAGCCTTTTTCGATCATCAATTCCATCAAATCGGGTATGGTGTAGCGGTAACATCGCTGACTCTCAACTGTTCGTGGTCCCAGACCTCGATGACTCTCAGCAGCCCGGGGTTCGACTCCCCGTATCCGAGTTGTTTTTTGCTCCCATGCAATATCACTGGTTCTTTTTTGCACATGAGAGAGGCAGAGACATCATGAAGAACAAATTCATCTGACAACACCAACGAACCACCAACACTACCACGATCCAAAGTTTCAGGAGCATGCCACAAACAAATATCTTTCCGTTACCCTCAACTCCTTTTCCCATCCCTGACCGAGTCCAGAGAAATGCTCTCCCGACGACAGACCATGATCGCTACAAGGGTATGCTACTAGTACAAAACATTCCGAAAACAAAACGTATTAGGTCGCCCTCCAGGCCGGGCCTGCAGATCCGACACTTTCCCAGACAGTCTGTCCAGGTATGTCCGCGGTGTCCATCATCCACCGCCAGATATAACCGCCACCAGCGAGAGCATCGCTCAGTAGTAGTTGTTCATGTCACCGTACCCACCCCCCCCGCCGTTGTTCCCACCACCGTTGTTCCCACCGTTGTTGTTCCCTCCATTGTTATTCCCATTCCCCCTGCCGCCACCCTGCTGCCAGTTATTCCCATACCCCTGCTGCTGCTGTTGCTGCTGCTGGTGACCCGGGTTGTAGTACTGGCTCGATGGACCCAACGGCGGCTGCTGCTGGAAGCCGCTGTCTTCGTACGACACCTGCTGTGCGAACCCGCCCTGGTTATCCCTTGTCCCGATATCATCGAGCGACTTGTAGTGGTGACCACCACCCCTTCCCCCGCGGCCTCTGCCGCCGCCGCCACCACCCCGGCCTCGGAACCCGCGGTTAGCATTCCCGCCGCCGCCGCGGAAGCCTCCGCCCCTAGCTCCTCCACCGCCGCGTCCGCCACCAAAGCCCTTGGGCCCCGTGGGGTGGTTCTGCCCCCGGCGAAAGTCATCCTCGCCGCTATTGGTGTGCTTCCTCTTGGGCGCGGGCTTGTTGGCGCCCATGCTGCTGCTCTGAAAGTCGCCCCCGCCCGACTCCTCTGCCTCGATCCGCAGGAGGACCTTTTCGCCGACGACCGTCTCAAAGACAAAGGCCTTGTCGCGCGGAACGGGCTGCCAGTTCTGGATCTTACCTGCGTCAACGGGCCGGGCACCTTTCCGCAGCGCCAGGACAACGAGAGGGCTGGCGTGCTCCGTGTGGAACTTGGCCGTCGAGGGCACCGGCTTCAGGCAGGCCGCCCAGATGTTGTTCTCGAAGCAGGCCGTGCCCGTCACTATCCACGTCATCTTGCTGCCCATGCCGCCGACCTTGTCGAGGATGCTGCTGGAGCAGGGCCGCGGGCAGATCATGATGTTGTTGGCGTGGTACTTGAGATCGGCCTCGTGTATGTTTTGGGGGATCTGGACTAGGGACAGCAGACGCTGCGTGTCAGTAGGGTTGATGAGGTAGCCCGTGTAGAAAACACTCTTTTTGATGGCGAGGCGCCCGTCTCGGACACCCGGCCGCCTCTTGGGGAGAGAGGCGTTGTGATCGTTGATGAGCTGCTGGATCTCGGCAATCTCCATGACGGGGTCCAAGTTGGTGCACAGCTCGGCCACCTGGACGACCTCGGCCGTGATGGGCCCGCGCGTTCGCTGGCTGACAGGCCCGTGCTGCAGGCGCTTGTTGTAGTCGGCGAGAAAGTCGCGGAACCCCTTGGTGTGCTTTGGCCGATCCTCGTAGATGCGGATCTCCTCGGCGTGCTTGTACGTCTCCATGACTGACGTCAGGAACACCTGCTTGAAGTTCATCGTGCTGGTGAACCGCTGGCCGCTCGGGCCGACGGCCGGCTTGAGGGACACCAAGTCAAACTCCAGCCCCTTGCTCTTGATCATGCGCTTGATGAGCTCGCTGAACCCAGACTCGGAGCGCCCGGTGAGCAGGATGCAGACGGCATCCGGCTGTTCGATGGTGAGATTGATCAGCTCGACAATCTTTTCGTTCCACCACCCCTTCCAGGCCCGAGGCTCCTCCTTGACGATTCCCTCCCCGGTGGCGGCGAGGATTCGGGAGTCGTGCCACCAGCCGCCATTGACAAAGGTATCCGGGTTAGCGAGCTGTCCGAGGGTCGGTCCGTTCCAGATCTTTGGATTTGGGAGGGGTGTCTTGAAGACTAGCGACGGTGTCCATGGTTAGCAATGGAGGTGGGGGAAGGGGGCCGGTTTGGATCCCAGGTCCGCGGCGTCTTACGCGTATTGTCAAAGTCGTAGACGTGGATGGCCTTGATGGCCTCGACGGGCGGAAGCTGCTTGTTAAGAATCGACCATCGCGCCAGCTCCGTGGTGGTGGGATTGGTCTTCTGCCTCTGCACCCCAAGGGCGGCATACGCAGACGGTCCCATCGCTCGGCGTGTCAAACGTGTGATGCGTGCCAACCTCGCTGTTGACATAAAACATGCGAAAGTTGCTTTTGCGATTTCGATTTGGTTGCGACGAGACCGCGTTCCCATCAGTGCAGCGCAGATGTGGGGCGAAGCCAAGACCAGGAGGCGGTCATGGCGGCGGGATGGCAGGGGGGCAAAACTCAAATATGCGAGTATCCACCAGATGCATGTATCCAATATAGCCCAACAAAGAACCAAGCTCTCCCCCTCTGTTGACAGCTCTCCTTACATGGCATGGTCACATTGATGCGGTTCCTTTTCATTCAAGATAGAGACACAAGAGGGTCAGAATTGCAAAGTTTGTTATTGGGGAGCATCTAGCAAATCTCCCCGAGTCCCGACGCCAGCCGCCCATTTTGCCAACCAACGCCCTTCCCAATGCAAAGAATGACCCATGACATGCACCGGGAAAAGACCCTTCCGATCATGAAACCAAAACCTCCAACGAAGAATAGAACCATCAAGACGACATCTCCACCTCCTGAGTGGCCGTCGCTGTCGCCGTCACCGGCCCTCCCCTCCCGGGACCGTTGTCAGTCCAGAGCGAGACAGCAGCATCCGCCTCCTTGTGGGTGTAGGGGCCCTCCTTCAGCGCCTTGAGCCTGGGGGGTTGTCAGCATGGAATGGAAGTACGGAAGGGCAGCATGGGTCCGTACCTTCTCTTGTGAGGCTTGCCCTTGGTGTGCACCTCAAGGCCATGCTCAGACTCGAACCATCTCGCACACTCGGTGCAGTAGTGCCTGCCGAAGCCGGGCAGATCCTCAGCAGCCTTGGTCTGCTTGAACAACTCCAAGTGACGGGGGGAGGTGATGTCGGCCTTGACTTGGTCGACGTCGCTGGTGGACAGGTCAGTTTATGTGCGGATATCAGGTTGAGAATTGGCAGAGACGAACCGCATATACCGCCTGGTCTTGGTCTTGGTGCGCTTCGCGAAAATACCCATTTTGAAGTGATTTTGGGGTTGAGACAGAGAGGATCGTTTCTTCTACGGGTATCAAGTCAAGGTGCAGCTGAGACGCGATGCAGGCAATGGCGTTGTGGTGAGGATGTCACGTTTTCCAGTGAGTGTGGATGTGGGGAAAATTTGGCATCGACTTTTTTTTGGTGGCCGCCCCCCCAACCTGCTGTTGGGGGTCACGCCAATGCATCGGTGCCGCTTCGGCAGGCAAGTTCACTGGAATTCAAGAGCGAGACCGTTTCCATCGGAGACATGAACTGAATCCTTTTCAGTGCTGGGTTGCGCTAGGCTTTTACAGACATCTCATGGTCGCTCTGAAGTTGCTGTCGGATCAACCAGCGAAACCCAACTCCGGACCGGCGGAGGTATCTCGTTATCGCCCTCGAATCTCCTCTTGAAGCCGAACGGCGCTCGGTCTTGTCGCCGAATCGGCTGGTCGCGGCCCCACCGAAGCGTCTCCAGGTCTGCAAAGTTTTCTCGTCCCGGCGCCAAGACCATGCTGAATGTTGCTGCTTTGGAGCAAACTTCCAGGTTGTCGTGTGCCTCTTCAATCCGTCTTGAGTCCTGATGAGTTGAAGATGTCTTTAGTTATCTTATCAAAACTCCGACGACACTTCCATGGCTTGAACCCATCTCAACCATGTCAAGTCTCGGCGTCAGTCAAAGTGCCGAGCGTCGACTTTCTCGGGCTAGCGTCTTCACCCGACTGTCGTCAATCGTAGCCTTGCGGCTAGTGTCCCCGGCCGGCCGTTGAGCCCCAGTGCCCACGGACCACGCCGAAGCGCCGTTCCAAAGGGCGAATTGAACGTGAGGCATTTGCTTGCAAGTCAGCACGCCTGGCCTCAAAATATCTTTGATATTTCCCAGCAACGAGATTGCGGCGGCAGACACGACCTGCGGCCTGGCATTTATCCCAGAAAATAAAATAAAAACCTCTGTTGTCGAGGTGACGTCGGCCGAGATGATCGCACCGTCATGATTTCAACTCGCAGTGCGGCTCAGCCAATTGACGACCGTGACACGGGAGGACGGGGAGCACATGCAGCGCCAGTGACCACATGTCAGGAAGACATGGAGGTCATGGCAGACCCCGCTCTTCTTTGGACAGGCCGCCCTCATTTTTGGAGATCGCGCCCGGTTTCAGCATCTCGCGATTGATGTTCCAGTCGAGAGAAGAAAACAAACTGGAAGAGCCCAAATGGCAAAAAGAATATGCCGCCCATTGCCTTGAATCAGGAGCAAGCCGTCGGGGCCTCGGTATTCCCTGCGCGGGGACCCTTCGCCCGAATGTCGACCCCGGCTGGCCGGGTGGGGAGCTGAGGGGAGTCGGGAGGGTCGAGACGATGACCGGGGTCGAGACCCGGCAGCGCCCGACCGAAGTCACCGAACGGCGCCGCACCGGGCCATTTGCTTCGGTTTTGCGGCCGGAGAGTCGTGCTTGCAAAGATGTGGCATCAATGGCAACAAGCAAGGCTTTGGATACCCTCAAAAATAACAACATCTGGCCTCTGCCGTGTCGGGACAAAGCAAACAAAGTCGTCGAGGCCAAGCAGAAGCCGACGTTGAAACGGGGCTAGCAGGGCTTTCCCGCCCTCCCCCTCCAAAGCCCACCACGAGCCCACCCACCGTGCCGTCTGCGGCGATGTCATGTCTTGGCCCCATGGCCCGCCCATGGATCCCCCACATTGCTCGACAACATAATC